TCTATATCCCTCAAACCCAGCCTGGCCAGTGGGGGTGGTGCAGTTAGATAGAGGTGACATTCTATTTTATTAAGACAGCACAAAACACCCATCGAAACCCTGGGTTAGCACCTTCAGCTCACTAAGGGAATGGAAGCTAAGTGACTTCTAACAGGATCATCTCATTATCTGGCTGTGCTCTGGGTTACAAATTCTTCCCAGGAATGCCCAGCATGCTGCAGGGATATTCCTCCCACGCCCAAGCTGTCTCTGATGTCCTTCTGCCTTGTCACAAAAGCTGAACCATTTCCCTTTGACTTTTATAGCACCCATTTCACCTAGAATGGATTTCTTTAGTTCTATCCAGCCAAGGGCAAAGGAAGCAGGCACTTGCAGAAGTGGGCAATCTGCCAACTTCTCCATCTCTTGTCCAGGTAGACCCCATTCACGGCTTTACCAATCGATATATTAAAAGCCTCACACCGCCTTCAGAGAAGTTACTGGGTAGAAAATGCTGCTCCTAATGAAACCACACACACAGAACAATGTGACCGGGTATGGAGGACAGCCTGGTGGCTCAATTCTGTGATTCCATGTAAATGTACAGGGTCCCTTAACACCTTGGAAGGGATGATGATGATAGGAGCTCCAGGATACCCTAATGTGAGGTGCTCAGGTCTCTGCTTTAACTACCAGTTTTTGCATAAATACTCCTCAGTCATCTTGGAAGATTTAATCCAACTAAACATTATGCAAAGAGCTGTTGTAGAACCTTGCTTAGGGACAGCGACCAAAGATTGGTGCACATTCAGCAAAAGGCATTTCCCTCAAATGTTTTATAATATTAATTTAAAATATTGTTTCTATTTTATGAGTGTTTTACCTATATATGTCTGTGTATAACCTGCATGTAGTATCTGTGGAGGTCAGAAGAAGGTGTCATATCTCCTGGAACTGGAGTTACAGACAGTTGTGAACAGCCATGTTGGTGTGGGGAATTGAACCCTAGATCCTTCCAGAGGAGCAGCCTGTGCCCTTAACCACTGGGCCATCTCTCCAGCCCCAATATGGTTTAGTTGTTGTTAATGTTTGTTTCCAAGGATTGAACCCTCATGTTTGCAAGTTAAGCACTTTAACCACTGAGCAACCACCCCAGGCCTTTCTTGGAGTATTTGATCCACAGTGCTGTGGTATAGAGTGCTGTAATTTTTGTTGGGAGATGGACCATTTGCACCTCTGCTCTGAGTTGGACCCTGCATTCCACCAGCCAGCATGTGTGTGATTTGTCCTGCATCCTTTCTGTGCCTCCACCAGGGCCCTCAGCTGTGGTTCATGCAAGTTTCTTGAGTTACATTCCCTTGGAAACCTGGACCCATCATGCACAGGCATTTATACACTCTGCTTTGCAAACACTAAGGGCAGCTGGTTACAGAAATCACGGAGTCAGAGCATCAGAGGGGCTTATAGAACAGGAGTGGGTGCAGACACACAGGAGGCCACGGTCTGCTTGTTCTGCCTGGTGGGCAAGGAGAAGGGACTCCTGCTAGGAGTTCCATCCAGAGGAGGAGGATGAGCCAAGTCAATCCTCTGAGGAGTGAGGCATGGGAGAGCATGTCTGAGGAGGCACACCAATAGCAACAGGAAGAGGAGCAGCAGCAGGAGGCTGAGCACAGTAGCAGAACCGAGAGACAAGCTGGGGCAAGGAAATCTAGTCCACAGGACTTGGGGATGCTGGAGTCGGAGTCAGGAGCAGGTCTGTCTGTGACTCCACGTCACTAGTCTGGAGCTGAGTGGGCACAGGGTCAACTGTGTCCCCCTTGAAGGAACAGCAGAGTGGACAGAAGTGTTGAACTCTACATTCTGAGTTTGGAGCTGATGTTAAGTGACATGAAGTAGAGCCGCCTTAGGAAGAGGAAGCCTCAGTCGAGGAATTGTCTCCACCAGATTGACTTATAAGCAAGTCTATGGGGCATTTTCTTGATGAATGATTGATGTGGGAGGGGCCAGAACACTGTGGACAGTATCACCCCTGGCTAGGAGTTCTTGGGTTGTATAAGAAAGCAGGCTGAGCAAGTCACAAGGAGCAAGCTAGTAAGCAACATTCCTCCCTGGCCTCTGCTTCAGCTCCTGCCTTGGCTTCCCTCAGTGATGGACCATAAACTGTAAACTCTCAATCTGCTTTTGGCCATCGTGTTTCTCACAGCAGCAGAAAGCTAACTAAGGACACATGGTGTCATTTCAGGTGGGTTAGGGCATTAAGGCATCTGTAATTTATTTAGCTATGAAGATTTAGCTATATTTTTAAAAAAGCTAACAGGTCTGAATTACTATGTGGTTTACTGGATATGTCCTTCTCTTTGTCATTTAGAGGAAGTTATGATGGACTAAGCTCCCTCTTACAGTCCCTTCCCTCCAACCATCCCCACTTTCTTTCCTGGTTTATTCTCCCCCCTCCCTTCCTCTTCTTTCTTTTCCCCCCTCTCCTTTCTTCTTTCCTCCCTTCCCCCAGCTTCCTCCCTTCATTTGCTAAGACTAGGGTGAATAGAGAGAGAACCAAGTGCCAGGTTCTGTGGAGGACCTGCAGATAATGGGTACAAGAGAGTCACAGGACAGACACTGGAGGGAGAGGGCTCCAAGCCATTGAGTACTTCAGCTGGGACGCAAAACCCTCCATATACGTCTCAGCTTTCTGTCCTTCCATACTGAATCTCAGGAATGGTTTAGTTTTTCTTTGCCATTTCCCGATAATTATTTTCATGAGTAGACAAGCTGTCCTATCATATTTCCTTGAACTTCCCAACATGATACCTCCCTGGATGGGAAGTTGGCTTCTTTATCTCCAATGATTGTATTTCTTGATTAATTTTTCTTGTTTGAGTTCATTAGCTGATATTTTACATTAATTAATCAATGTGAGTGTGCATGTGTGTGTGTGTGTGTGTGTGTGTGTGTGTGTGTGTGCGCACACACACCTGTGCTACAGGACAGGGCAAGGTCTGAGGACAATTTGTGGAAATCAGTTCTCTTTTTCTACCATGTGGGCTCAAGGATTAGAACTCAGCTCAGCAGGCTTGGTGGCACCTTACCCCACTGAGCCCTCTCTATGGCCCTTCGCTGGTATTTTTGAGGTCTTGCGGTTTAGAGGTCTCGCACTTCTTGTACTTGCATCAAATTCCACTGACATAACATTTTATATCTAAACATAAAGTGTTTTGGTTCAATTTAAACCGAATTTTAAAATATCCTCAAATGAGATAGCTCGTGATATAATAACTCTGTTTGGTCAGACACATTTCTTAATTTGTTTGTTGATATGTCAACACATACCAGAATAAGCTAGAGTCACATTGGATGGATTATGTCTGAGAAGCCCTCTGACACTCCGTCCATCCATCATTCATGGAAAGGTTTTACTTACTTAGTTGCTTGCCATGAAGGAGACAGATGATAAGGTATCCAATAAAAGTTTCTTGTCTGGGCCTCTGCTACCAGCAAGGAAAACTCTGAAGGCACCTCAAGAGGTTCCAGCTGCTTCTGCAGGCTGTCCCCAGCTTTAAGCAGCCTTCCGGCCCACCCTGCTTCCACATTGATTGCAAGCTGCCCCTGGAGCATTGGCTCTTCTGTTCTTTTTGTTTGTTCATTTCAGATAGGGCTCACCACTAGCTTGTGCTGGTCTTAAACTTGTGACTCTTCTCCTGCCTCCTGTATCAGCCTATCTGGTTGACTCCTACATTCTTCAGGCTATATCACCAACAGGAAGCAGGAAGATGAGAGGAAGTATATATGGGTGGAGAGATGGCCCTGCAGCTAGAACCTAGCAGGCCCTTTGTCTAGCCAGCCTCCCCTCCTGCCCACTGTCCGCATACCCTCCAGGAAGACCCTTCGGACAGGACTTGCTCCAGAATGAGCTTGGCTTCCTTAGACTGTTTAGTTTAGTTCACAGGTTCTGGACTCCTGTGTGCAGATAAAGTACCAGGAAGTGTTCTAGAATGAACACGAGGAAACGAACCCATGAAAGGTGTGTGGAAGGCACTAGGTGGGCTGGGGAGGGGGGGTGCAGCTGCAGGAGAGGTGGGAGATTCCAAGCTAGAAGCTGAGAGAGGAATGTACTTCCAAATGTGTGACTCTGGGGAACATGAAGGGAGTGGAACTTTTTCTACAGTGGAACCAAGTTTAGAGCATTGCAGAAGAAGTACAGGATATCTGGCAGTGACCAGGAAGGGAGAGGTTTGTTGCCGAAGCTGCTTTTGCAAAGGCATCCCTGCCTTTGGTTCTCATACCACCCGACTTGCCTGTACTCTCACCTGTATCTCACCCATCCTCAGCCTTCCGTGTTTCTCCTGCTAGCCAAAGTTATGTCATCCCCATCTCCCCCCCCCCACCCCAGGCAGCCTGGAGACGTCCTGCTTCCACAACCTGAAACCCCAACCCAGGGCTTCTCCAGGAGCTGTTGAGTACAGTGAGCATTGAGCTAATATTAGTCACAATATACTGACAATGGTTTTCCCACGGCCAAAAAGGTGGTTTGACCTGGAATCTCCACAGCATGTCTTTGCTTCTAGTTCTCTATATGCCTCCCTTTCAGAGAAATCCTAACATGAGGGATGTGAGTATTCGGATGGATGGGTGCCTGCTCTAGGGATTGCAAGAAAAAAGGACCCACTATCAGATGGGAGGCAGGGTCTCTTTCTGCAAGGTCATCTAGTCCTTCCTTCTCCATCATCACATGTGTAGCCAGCATGCAGACCCAAACCGGGGGCTCAGAAACTCAGCAGCACAAAGGGCAATGCCCCCTTTTCTACATTGAAGGAGAACAAAAAGAACAAGGCTCTGGGTGATGTGTGTAGTTTTGCAGACCCACCAGAAATAAGAATACCTGAAGACCTCCTGACTCAGATAAGTGGCAGTCTAGAGACCTTTGAAAGCTCACAGTAGGCTTAGAGACAGACAGGGTGAGGTGTATGTGTGTGTCTGAGATACCACCTCAAGCTGTCACTGGTGTTTCCCCATCCTAGATTTTTCCATGTGAGGATGTGGCTTGAGCTGAGGACAAGGCTGCATTGGATTCAGGGACACAAAGAAACTGGGGCACAGGCAGGATCCTGTCCTTAAAATGCCAAACTGAAGGCTCAAAGCAGCAAGCAGAGCAAGGTATGTATGTGGGGTGGGCAGTGGGGTGTGGGCATGGGTGAGTCAAACCACACTCTGGGACGATGGGCTGGTGGGAGCTAGAGTCCCAAAGAGAAGCTTTTATAGATCGTAACAATGGTATTGGCACTTGAGCCTTCCATGGGGACAGTGGAAAGTTCAAGGCTGCTTTCTGTCTGTTGCTTCCCTTACTGTCCACAGCACAGGCTGCAAGATTGAGGCTTGGGGACAGGCAGGCACTTGGGGGTTGGAGCCCGACAGAAGCAGGGTGTCTTGGTATGCATCTTTCAGCTGGGATCCTAGGGCCAACAGTACAGTTTTCATTTCTGTGACATTCGTTCTCTGGGGTCAAGACTGATGGAATTAGGGGGAGGTGGAGCCAGGGGAGGGCCCTTTGCTTGCAGGGAACCCAAAGACTATCACAGAAATCAATCAGCCTGTGGCTTCTTTTCTTTCTGAGGGATTACTGGTGGATTCCTGCTTTCTTCATTCAACTAATATGTTATCAGTTCTTCTGTCTAAGGAAGCAAAGGAAGGGTGGGGGTTTCAGCTGGCAGCTCTCCCCAGAAAGTACCGCATTACTCCACGTGTGTCCTGAAATAGGCCCCACACAACTTTTTTTTTTTTTTTTTTTTTTTTTTTTAACTCAAGTGCTTAAAGACTTCTTTGAAATGTGGGCCAATTATTCAAGGAGAAAAAACAAAGTAGATCAAATATTTAACTTTGCTCTTGGTATGTTGAACTCACCTGTCCACGGGAATCTCTCAGGCATATCCTACAGACTGGCTTCATTTGTGTCTCCATTCTTTCTGAGGGGCTGCAGATTGGGACCGCCCTAAAGTCATGGTTCTGAATCACAGCCTGCGCCCGCAGGCTGGATCTCTGTCCTCACTCCGAGTCTCTTTGAACTGTAGATTTCCAGGATAATAAACTCCTTTTCCAAAATGTTGAAAACACAGACCCCTCTCCCCTAAAAGCTTACCCAGAGCTTGTGCAAGGTGGAGAGCTGTCGGTAAATTATTAAGGTCTTTGGAGATTATTAGCCATGGTCCCTTCGGCAGATTGGGCATGTTGCCATGGCGCGGAGCTGGGAGTCTGGGGCTCCTTCTGGGCTGAAGCCTGCCACCACGGATAATAAAATCCTTGGGTGTCTCTAGAGTTTCACCTGTAGGATTCTGGCAGTTGTCTCTCCTTCCCTACCAGCTCCGCCCGGTCTCCTCCCCTGGGCGGAAGGTGCCTGAGCTCTGGCGGCCTGGGAGGCAGACGCAGGCGTGTTACCCAGGTACAAAGTTTGCTAGCGCGCTGCTAACGTTTTTCCGAGCTGTGGGCCTCGGTTTCCCAATCCTATTAACATGCTCCGGATGGAGCGGGTTGAGGTCGGGATAATCTTGCGGAAAGGGGTTGGGCTCTACCATCCAGAGAGACTTTCTGGTCTGGGAGGGGGTGGCGCGGGAGCCACGCAGCCCGGGGCGGGGCGCCCGGCGTCTCCCTGGGTTGCTACAACAGACCCCGTTACGGCGGCCACCGTGAGAGACTGGGACAGGTGCGGCAGGGGCGGGTCGCCCGCGAGAGGACCCCTCCCCCACGCTGCCAGCGCCCGCGGTCTTTTTACGCCCGGGAGCCCCAGGTCGCCCGCGGCGCAGGACGGGGCGGGGCTGCGCTCTGCACCTCCAAACCTCCCGCCCGGCTAGGCGCGGCGCGGTGCGGCGCCGCTTGGTTCTGCGGGGCCGAGCGGGGTTTCAAATCTCAATTTTTCCCCGGGGCTTGGACCTGCCCCCGACGCGGGAGCCAGGTGAGACACACGGGCAGGGAAGGACAGTGGGTGGCCCTCGGGCACCTAACCCGGCTCTTGAGGCATGTGTGTGTCTCTCATTCCAGAAGCAACCGCGACTGGGTCAGTGAGGCCCCGTACCCATAGAGGCTTAGGATGAGAGCTGGAAAAGAGGGATGCTTGCATGCAGGTGGGGCTTATGTCTCTTAGGGAACACCCCTCCCCCCAAGACCCCTTCCCGGCAAGGGCCAGTCACAAGAGCCGTAAAAGCGATCTGAGTACAGAGCTCACTAGTTCTTTGTGCCCTGAGCCTGTGAACCTCTGCTTCTTCCAGCGCTTCTGATTCCTTTATCAGGTCAGCGCAGGTAGATCAGCCTCTGTTCCAAGCTCGGGATCTCCCGTCCTGTAGATCGCCTGTTTCCTGGGAACATGGGCCAGCAAAGCCCAGAAGAGGAGCCGCCTCAGGGCCGCCAGGGGGCGCGCTGGGCGGGGACCCGCTCCCTGCTCTCTGTCCCTTGAGACTGCACTCTGTCAGACTCTGCCCAGTCGCTGGCTTTGCGCACGATTCCTGTGGCAGCAGCTGGCTCCGGGAGGTCGGGGGTCGCACGGCTCCCCGCCGGGTGCCCAACCCCTGCCCACCACACTACCTAGTAGGGGTGTGGGGACCCGGCGGGCTCAGGGGAGCGGCCCCCGCCTCCGTCCGCCGCTGCCCGTGAATTATGCAGGAGGCTGGCACCGGTGTTCAAGTTGCTCAAGTTTCCCTGGCAACTTTCGCCCGGGCATCCCTCCTCCGGCGCAGCGGGCAGCTCCTCCCGCGCGCCCGGAGCCCCAGACGCCTTCCCCAGGCTGCCTGGCCACGCAGCCCTGTGTACTCGGTTACTGGGAGGGCTCTGGAAGACCCAGACCACGCCCTCGACCCCCTGGACTGGGGCCTCTGAGGAAGCCAAGGCGTGACATTACCTGGTAAACTTCGTCTTGGGTGAAGAGGGTGCATGCAGGACCTGTGCGTGCAGGACTTCGTTGTCAGGATGCTGGGGCCGCTCGGGGCCTTGCCTCCGGTTTCCGGGGGTGTGGGGCATCCGTTGGATCACATCGCTGGGGTGTGTAGGGTGAGTCGCCTTTAACCTCTCTGACTGGTAGTAGACGACTACGGTATCCAGTGAAACTTGTCTTCCCGGAGAATACCAGGGTTGCCTTGAAAATTTCAGCTGGGATGTAGAGGGGGTGGCTTCCCTGGACCTCCTCGCCCATTTGCAGAACGTGCAAGGGGTTGTTAGGCTCCAAGTAGGTGGGGTGCTACGGGGGGGGGGGGGACGGGGCAGCGCCCAGTGGGCGAGAGGCTTATTCTAGAGACTAAGTTTTGATGGTTGAGCTTTTAAAGGGGATGTAGGCTGTTCCATCTGAGAAGATACCTTGGACCCACGGGTGTGGGGGTCTCAGGGGCCTCCCTGGTGGCTTACAGATGGCTTGCAGGCACAGTCCTGTAAGCCTTCAGAGGACATCTGAAAATAGTGGTTTCTGCATGGAAATTCGAGGTAGTAAATTAGGTAGGTATGTGACCTCTTTTTTGGAACTGAAGTTTGAACGCTAATGAGGTCAACCGGCTAATTAAACTGAGTTTGGCATGCAGGGATAATTTTGGAAGTTTGGGGTGGAGAATGGCTTGTGACCTCTAACTGGGAATGGACCCTGCGCCTTGCTGACCTGGCTAGGGGAGGTTCCGCAGGTGTGTCTTCAGCTGCAGGCTCAGCCTTGACCCAGGTTCGGCTTTCAGGGCTGGCACCCTGAAGGCAGACAGTGTGTGGCATGTCCATAAGGGCTCCTGGAGATGCCTCGATCCTTGTTTGGAAACATTCCAACCACAAGTAGGTGATACCAAGATGAGTCAGGTAGAGACTGGAACCTTCCGTTGCTGCAGTTGAAGTGAGCCGAGAAACATCTTTGACACTAATGAATGGAGGAGAGTAGTGGTAGCCTGGAAAGAAGGGTAGAACCAGGGGTTACCTACTCTTAAAATGGGTCAGAAAAATAAAGCTGGCTTCATAGTGTCTGGAAGTCACAGATCCCAGGGGTAAAGTGTTTTCAAGGAAATGGAGCCCATTGTTTGTACCAGAAATTTTTCCAAGAAGGAGGAACTAAGTGACCAACTGGGCCCTGTGTCAGGAGGCTGAAGTGCAATGAAGGTGACACCCAGGGTTCCTGTCCACAGCCCTCAGTGGACTAGGGCAGATGGAGAATCTCTGCTAGTATCTCAAATGCCTTTTTTAGAAAGCTTGGTTTGTAGTCCAAGCCACTCACCCATTTCTTTAACCCACCTCAAGGTTTCGTGCACAGCTGTGATCATGGGAAAGCTACTTGGTCCAGGCCTGGGGACTGGGTCATCAGGGTGGGGCCCTGAGGTGTGAGGAGTTTCAGCCAGATCCTGTGAAGGATTTGGGGATAGCATGAAGTTTTATGTTCCCTCATGAGGAAGAAAGTGTGATAGAAAAGCATGCTGGGAGTTGTCTGATCCACAGGAAAGCAGCCCTAGGGAGAGAGTCTTATAGAAAGCCAGGTCTATGACAGAATGTGCTTTGTTTCTGAAATCCTTGAGTCCCAAATGATAGGGTACTAGAGTCTACAGGCTCCAGGGAGTAGTGGGGGCTTGTCCAAAATGGCTTTGTATGGGGTGGAGCTGCTGTGAGGGCCAAGGAACCAGGCAGTGGTCATGGATCTCCAAATAAGTCTATACCCTCCCTGCTGACCCTGTTCTTGAGGCAACAGGTCTTGCAGCCTCAATGGTTCCTTCGGATGGCAGGGATGTCTGGCTATAGCAGCCTGTTCAAATGTGCATTTTGACCTCATCAAGAGTCTCGCCTGTGTCTTTTCCCTCCCCAGGTAACATTGAGGAGGCTCACCCACATGCACATGACCCCAAATCTCTTGCTAATGTGGTGACCCTCTTGGTCAGGACAGAGGTGGGGACTTTATACAGGCCTGTTTTTTTTTTTTTCTCTGTGGAGCCCCTGAGCTTGCCACCTGAGCACTGGCATGTGGATGTGGAAAGAATGTAAAGAGATTGAGAGGTAGGCTGGGAGCCTAGACTCCCTTCCTACCTAAGCCTGTGACCTTTGGATGGGCACAGAAGCTAACCAGCCCACACCAAGGAAAGGCCTGCCATCTTCTATGGGGCAGAGATGAACAGAGCATATTTGGCCCTGTTTTCTCTGTATTTCATTAAAACAAGCTGAGC